CTTTCTTTGGTGGAAAACCAATTTCAGACAAGAGTATCCTTAGCCAAAGAAGCTCACAAACTCTGTTATGCCCTTGTATTCTACCTCAACTGAAGATCAAACCACTACATTTTGCTTCTTATTTCGCCATGTAAACAAATTACCCTCAATGAAAGTGAAGTAACCTGATGTAGAACGTCTATATGTTATATTGTCTGCCCAATCTGCATCTGTATAACCCTTGACATCCAAATGTCCCAGTTTTCTGAATATCAAGCCTCATAACTGGCGCTAAGTGTTCATCACTAGGTGAATGCATGAATTGACTAATAACACTAACTGTATATGCGATATTTAGTCTGTGCAAAAGATAAATTAGTCTTCCCACTAAACTACGATATCTCTCCTTGTTGGTTGATACTGGATCAGGATAGATTGCTAGGTGATGATTCTACACAATAGAGGTTTCAGCTGGTGCACACCCTAACATACCATTGTCTATCAACAGGTCTAGAACATACTTCCTTTGAAAGAGACAAGAACTAGTACCAGAGCGAGTTACTTCGATTCCCAGAAAATACTTCAAAGCTCCCAAGTCCTTCATCTCAAACTCTAAGGCTAAGTACTTCTGTAATTTGCCCATTTCAACAACATCATCACCAGTAACTACCATATCATCGACATAGATTATCAACAAAGTAATCTTACCATCCATACGTTCGATAAATAGGGTATGATCCGAGTTACCTTGATGATATCCATACTTCTTCATTGCTTCAGTGAACCGCCCAAACTATGCTCGTGGAGACTGCTTCAATCCATAAAGGGCCTTTCGAAGCCTACACACCTTCCTACTGTTATTAGACAACCCATAACCAGGTGGCATGTCTATGTACACTTCTTCTTCTAGATCTCCATGTATAAAGGCATTCTTCACATCGAATTTCTTGAGAGACCAATCTAAATTAGCTGCTAAGGACAATAGAACTCGCACTGTATTCATTTTTGTCACTGGTGTAAACGTATCCTAATAATCAACTCTATACGTTTGTGTATACCTTTTGGCCACAAGTCTTGCTTTATATCTATCTATTATGCTATCAGCTTTGTGCTTAACTGTGTACACCCATCGACATCTAACAAGTTTCTTTCCTTCAGGTTGCGAAACTATCTCCCATCTTCTATAAGGCCTTTATCTCCACATTCATTGCTTTCACCCATTTTGGGTCTTGAAAAGCTTCTTCCAATCTATTAGGAATTTTAATTCCTTCCATCTGACTCACAAATGCTTTAGCTTGAGGAGACAATATGTGTGTGGAGACATAATCAACAATGGCATATTTCACCTTGCCTTCTAGTAAGAATATGTCTGGTGGTATTCCCTTGTTTGCTCGTGCATGTAAATTTTTTTTTCTCACAATTTTAACAATATTTTAAGAAACATTGGGATCTAAAGGACTTACCTCAACGATGTTCAGTGGAGCATGAACAGTATGTTCGAGAGAGGGGGCTCGCTGTTGACCAGTTCGGGATTGCTGATGTCATGTTCGGCTCGACTCGACTAGACTAGTCAGCAGCCTGCTTTTAGCAGCTGGTTGGCTCGACTCGGTTGAGTTAAGCGGTTCGGGTTCGAGAGCACTATTTTGTGCTTCTTTTCCCTGTATTTCTATCTCAAACCAATTATGTGTTTCCTTTACTGTATTCTCCCACTAAAAGACACAATTGGGTATGTCTTACAGAAAAAAAAAAAAATCTCCTTCTCCACAAACGTAACATCCATGGTAACATAAAAGCGGAGACTAGAGGGATGGTAACATCGGTAACCCTTATGTTGAGATGCAAACGCCACACAACTAAAAATGGGCGAAGTGAGATTAAGATAGGAACATGAGCAGCCAATGTCTGGTGTAGTGTTTTAAAACCTAAAACACTTGAAAACATACGATTAAGAAGGTAGATAGCATACTGAATAGTTGTAGTCCAAAGGGTTTGGGGAACATGCGCCCCACCCCAATAAAGAGAGCTAGGGAAATCTCAAGAATATGACGATTTTTGCATTCAGCCACACCATTATGTTCAGGAGTCCAGGGACACATAGATTCATGGAGAATGCCTTTTTCAGTGAGAGGTCTGGGAGTGTATGGTAAACAAATTCCTCTCCATTATATGAATGAACAACTTTAATCGAACAAGAATATTGAGTTTGAATCATTTGGTAAACTTCTTTGAATAAACCAACTTCATTTTTATGCTTCATAACATAAAGGCAATTTAACCGAGTACAATCATCAATGAAGATCACAAACTACCGAATACCAAAAAGAGTAGTAATCGAAGATAGACCCCAAACATCTGAATAGATTAAATCAAAAGGAGATGTGTTTTTATTCAACCTAGGTGGATAAAAAGTCTGGTGACTTTTTGCAAGAATACAAGTCTCACACTGAAAATCAGAAATTTTTACTCCACTAAATGGAGATGGAATCAAAGACTACAAATAACCAAAGGAAACATGACCCAACTGCTGATGCCATAACCAAATCTTCTTATGCTTCTCCTTGACAACGCCCCGAACCTAATGAACACGACCCGGTGCAATGTCATCCATATAGTAAAGCCTCCTTTTCTTAGTACCACGCCCAATGATCCCCATGGCTAAACATCCTAAAGCAAACAAAAGGAAGAGAACATAAGCATGCAGCAATCTAATTGCTCGATAACTTCCTCAACAGATAATAAATTATGGTACAAAACAGGAACAAGCAAAGTTTTATGTAAATAGAGGGTAGGAGTAAGAGTGATGGAACCAACCTTAGTGACTAAGTTAGATTCTCCGTTGGTAGCAACCACATTTGTCTTGGTAGGAGTAGTTATATAATGAAAAAAAGGATTTATCATAGGTCATATGATCAGTAGTACCAGAATCGATAATCCAACATGTATCTCGTTAGTCAAAAAGCACTAAAACTTTTCCTTGGTTACCTTAGCAGTCAGCAGGCTCTGGAATGAATAACTGAGAAGAACAGTAAGAGAATCATCAACTAAAGAAGCTGTCGTGGGCGAGGTTCAGACACCCAGGGTAGCGCCAACGACCGTGCAGACAGAAGATTGGCCGACGGTGATGACAACAGCTACATCGCTCCCACCATTCTTTTTCTTCTCATGTGCCTCCTTTCGTTGCTTTTGGTGTTCAAGGAACCACTCAGAAAACCCATTCTTGTGAAAACACCTGGCCTTTGTATGACGGTTCCCATTATAGTAAGTACAATGCATGTTTTTTTTTATTCCTTAGGGGTTGGACGAAGAAAAGAAAAACTAGTAGTAGGGGCTTTGGAAACCATTACAGCAGATGATTCAGTCTTTCCATCATTCTTGAGCATCGTTTCCCAATATTAGGCCTCTTTTCAAACCAAAGCAAACAACTCCTCCAATTTTGGCAGTGGTCTCAACCTCAACAAATCTCCTCTAATTTTATCAAACTCATCATCTAGACGTGCAAGAAAACTATAAATACAATATTTATGTATCTCAGCCTATCGAATCTCACATCATCAGGGCACTTGATGTTGATTGGACGACGACGGTCTAGTTCCAATCAAACGGTCTTGAGCTCAGCAAAGTAGGATGTAATATCTCGACCTCCTCGAGTATTACGAGTTGCTTTACACTATAATTCATAAATCTGCAATCATTAGACGTGTCATAATACATTTGGGTTGCACTCTCCCAGACATCTTTAGCTGTTGATAGATCTAAGAACAATTCTACCAAATCAGGTTCCATGGTTTTTATCAACCATCCTTTAACAATGGAGTCCTCAATACACCACGAATCAAAGCTCAGAGCATCTTCCTCTACTTGAGCCACCTTCCCTGTCAAATAACCTCTTTTTCCTTGGCCTAACACATGAAGCAACATCATCTTCGACTAAGTGCTATAATTCTTTCCATTCAACCTTATGGTGAATGAGGCAGCGGAAGTATCATTGCAAACTGTAACAATTGGTTGCGCCATGTGAAGAGTTTTGAAGTTTTTTGAAGCACTGGATTTTGCAGCGGCGGTGGGGGTGTCTAGGGTATCTTTGAAAACCATGGAGAGAGAACAAGTTTGGAGGGTAGGTTGCACCGGCTAGGATCGGCGGGTTTGTGTTTTTAGGGTCTTTTGTTGCACTTGGTTTGTAACGACAAGGATGTTGTCATTGTTTTGCGGCTTTTTATTATTATTTATTTTTGTGTGTTTGGTTGCCGTCGGCAGTAGAGGGTGCCAATGGCTAGGTGTTTGTATTTTTGTTTGAGAGACCGTGGTTAGCCAGCTTTGATACCAACTAAACACAGAAGGATTGAATAATTGTGAATGATTTTATATTTCTCCAAGAGGAGAATATATATACAAGTACAAGTTGACTTTTCCTACAAGGAAAAGTAATTAGCTAATTACAAGGAATCCTAACTAGGTTAACTATTCTAATTAGGTGTAATTCACTAGGTAACTATTCTAATTAGGTAACATGAATTACACCAGGAAATCAGGAATCACTGAATCCCTGAATTATGATTCACGCCAACACTTACCTGCCGCATTCCATATGAGATTCGTGTTGGCTGCACCATTTTGGGTTAGAGAGACACAGCTGCTCTTCTACCGATCACACCAAGAAAAAGATAGTACTTCGGTTACTGTGGATGCTGCACAGCAGAGTGATCATGAACAAAAGTTTTATTCTCTTATTCTCTGTCTATTCTTGAGAGTGTGAGCTTCAGTGTATTTGGTGTCTTGAAATTTTGAGTGATTAACCATACTTAGTCATTTCTAAGTTGGACGTAAAGCCGAACAAGTATAAATCTATGTGTTCTTGTTGGTTTGCTTGGTTTGTTTATTTATCTCTTACTTGTCTTTGTTTGTTTCCATTCACACTTGCACATGTGGTTGAGCTTTAGCACAAGAAATAAGAACAGAAAAGTGTTAACATTGGACCCCTTAAGCATAAAGCTTTCCGTTCTTCCCAAGCCCTCATAATCATCAATTAATTGGGTTTAAAAGGTTACATTGCAGGTGATGCGTACATGTATGCCACCAGATGTGGCCTTTGAAATTGCCCCAAGTTCATTCAGACTCAACATTTCGAAGATGGAAAATTATAGGATTTATAGCTCCGATGAACAACCATTGCATGACAGTGAAGCACTTAAATCCCTAAATATAGCACAGGGTCGAAAAACATGTGCGGCTTTCAGAAACGAAGAATTCAAGATTTGTTCCAAATATATTTTAACATTTTTTTTATAAGCAGTATCAAATACATTTCCCAGAAGGAATTGCACAAATACAACTTTACATAAAAAAGAAAAATTGGGTCATGTATTTGGGTCATGTATTTGTGTTACGTTATATCAGTTGCCACCTTCAATCCCCTCTTTGAAAAATCATCTACTTTTGCCTCTCCAACTTGAACTTTTGTGTTTCTCCTCTTGAGCTCCAAGAGCCATACAATTGCGGAAGGGCAGCTTCTTTCCTAACAGCCTCCTAATTATACTGCATTGGCTTGTTTCCATTCTCCATCTCTAAGGTCTCTCTGGCTATGCCTCACCTCGCAGTTTCTTGAGCTGTTGCCGGGCTTCAGACAAAGCGCAGCTTACCTCCTCGTCCCCGGGTGTTTCCTTAAGCAAAATCTCGTAGTCTTGTATTGAAGCTTCCCATTTTTCCAACTGCATGATACATCATCATTGAAACATACCAATTGTCACAAATAACATAATCAAAGAGCAACCAAAAGCAACTTGAATTTTTCTTTTTTTGTTGTTTGAAAGATGTGTATGTATTAATGAGCGAGCACATATGGTCACCTTGGCATTGCAATCTGCTCTTCTTAATCTAGCCTTGCAGTAAGATGGGCGCACATTGAGGGCAGCTGTACAGTCCTCAATTGCTTTATCTAATTGACCAAGTTTTGACCGACAAGCACCACGGTTGCATAACAACACCGAATTATAAGGGTCGTGCTCAAGTCCCTCCCCATAGGCAACGCATGCCTCTGAGAATCTTGCTGTCTTGAAAAGCTCATTGCCTTTTGATCGAGATACCGTAACAGCTCGAGCCTTCCTCGCCACCATGTTTGCTTCCCTGTTGTTTGAGTCAAGACGGGATGCTCGTTGAGCTGCCTCCAATGCATCATCCAATCTGTCAAGCCATTGGAAACCAATAAACCAACTATTTGAACAATATTCTTCCTTTTGAGTAGTGCATAAGCATTTGCATAATTATGCTCTTGCTTTCTATAACTTTATCGTGTGACACTATGCACAATGATAAATATAGGTACTTTTAGAGTAAAAAACACAGTACCTCCCAGCAACCATATCCACCTGAGCCCGTGTTGTTAACAAGTTCGCATTACCAATAGGACCGAAAAATTTAGAGCAGGCATCTACTTCAAAATTTGGACCCCTGGATAGTGCTTCATCTGCTTCTTGGTGCCTATTGAGCTTCAGTAAGGCCTCAGCTTGCAAAGCATATATCTTTGTAGAGTAACAAACAAAATATGTACTCATATTAGTATACATAAGTGAGCTTATCTACATATATATTTTTGTTGTCAAATACATAAATGCTTCTCAACCGTTAAATTCGATATGGACTTCTGAGGTGCATCTCATCTCCTCATAGCGTTGAGAAACAAGTTCGTATCCAGAGGATGTTTAATGGAGAATAAGAGAAAGGGAAATCTAATAAAGATGGGATTGGAATTTGATAATTCTATGGCTAACCTGTGGTGCTGAATCTGCACCAGCTAATATAACGTTTTCAGATGCCTTTATGAGGGTGTTCCAATCTCTTAACCTACGAGCCTCAGTGCACTTGTTCAGAAGGGCCTGAAGAGATTTTACTTTAGCAAGGTCCTCTTGATCAGCCTCTGGTCCAGAATGTTTGTAGTGATACAAAGCTTTATCTGCTTCCCCTAACCTACAAGCACACAACAAATTAACTTTTACAAAAAAGATTGCAACTCCCAAATAACATTAACATGTGGAACTTTATGCAGTTTAAGTTGTACCTAAAATATAATGTTGCCAGACGATGATGAGCCCTGTGATACTGGGGCTCAATCCGAATGGCTTCCCTGCACTCAAAAACTGCCTCGAGAAGTTGACCTAGAGCGGTTAATGCAGCACTCTTGTTGCTCCTATAAGAAGCCTTATTGGGGTCAATAGAAATTGCAGCATCATATAAAGCCAAAGCCTCTGCAAACCTCCCATTCTTGTAATCTTCATTGCCCATGATCTTCAAAGTTTCGGGGTCCATTCTAGTCGACAATGCCCGGCATAAGGAAGCAGGCGGTTCTGTGACACTCTGTTTCTTCTCTTCTTTAGCAGCACTCATCTTTCCCACATTTACATTACTCATCATAGGGATTTCTTCTCTTGCTGTCTTTGGAAGATAATCAAGAACATTATTTGAGTTTGCATTTCCACCACCTCCACCAGGTTGTCTCAAATTACCCAAATTGCCAAAAAGCATGACATTGCTGGAGGAAGCCCTTACAAGTGTATTGCTCCCTTTTGATTTTTGATGATCAGCAATCATGCTATCAAGCTCACCAGATATACCAACTGCCTCCTTTGGCACCCTTTTGCCGTGGTTCACATAACCTTGGCTTGGGGCCATTTTGCTTGGGGCTGATGAGGAAACCATTGGACCTGCTTGTGCTGCTGCTTCTTGAGGTGGCCTACCATTTCTACCCTGAATATTTTGCTGCAGCTGTTGCTGTTGCTGTTGTTGTATAGGAGGTGCCCTGTTACTATATTGGGAAGGCTTTGTGATAGGTTTTGATGGAGGAGCATCTGATGGATTGGCTGATGAATCAAGGAAGGAAGCCTCATCAGAGCCACCACGCCGCCGTTTCGAATTTGGAGTGCTTGGTGTTTTGACAAATGTGGCATTGTTATTATTGGCCACAGGAAGAGAACCTGTAGAAGTTGTTCTTCTTGGCCAAAAACTATTTCTCCCAAAAACAGCACTCAATATGCCACAGCCTGATTTCTTCTCCGGCGACTCTCCCATTTTTTTTCTTTTATTGTTTATGTCCCTTTCAAGTCCCTGATCAAATTCTGTGCATGGTGTGATGATGTTACAGCAATTGGGATTTTCTGTGTACCATTAACAAAACCAAGGGAAGAGCATGAGGTGCATGAAATGAAAAAGATGTATGAGGATTGGTAGAGTTCAAGAGAGAAAACCAAGTTGAACCCAAGATCACATTTTGGAGAAGAATTAAAAAAAAAAAAAAAAAAAGCACAGGAAAAGAAATCAAGAATTAATGAAAAAAATGAGAGAGGACCCAGGAGATTATTTGCATGGCCTCTCCTCCTGGAGCTTGAGTGGCTCTGATTATTATTATTAATTAGAGACAATGCCTCCTGGATTTCTCTCTGCTCTGTGCAAGAGAGGTGAAATTGGATTGCATGATTAAAACAAGGGGCAGGGAAAGAAATGGGAATAAATGGCAGGAAAAGAAAATAATAGATTACGGGTTTATTGTTTTATAAAAAACTGTAATAGCTGGTGCTGAATCTTTTTCTCAATTTTCATATCTGGTTTCTGTTTCTGGTTCTGTTTTTCATTTTTCATTTTTTTTTTTTTTTTTTTTTTTTTTGGTTTTCTCTCATTGTCTTTGCTTTGGGTTTCTTGTGTGGAAGCAGAAGACCCGGTCTTGCGTTAAATGATGATCTCTAGAATTTTAGACTGACTCACCCCAGCCTTGTCAATCTGTCATGGCCCTTGTTTTCTTTGAGGAGGGCACGTCTTTGTTGGTTTTCAACATCCCACGTATGAAGCCAGTTGTGTTTAATAACAGTCATATATAAATACATTTTTGTTTAAAATACCCAAAAAAAAAAAAAACAAGAAATGGAAATTGCAGAACATCTCATATTTGAACTGGGAATATACCCTATTTATAAATTAAAAAAACTAAGACCTAATTGAGTTATTGACCTAATCACCAACTGCTTCTTGAATTGATTGAGAAGTGGTTGAGTTTTGGTAGAATGGTTGTGGCTTTTCTATGTTAAATCTGCAAACTTAAAAGAAGCCAGGTCAAAACAAGGTGTTGAAAAAAAAAAAAAAGGGAAATTCCGGGAGACATGCTTTTGATGGTGTTCTATAATCATAAATACGAATATTAATGATGGAGGTTTGTAATTCAAGTCGTTAAAAGTATTTTTCTGAATCCTTTTAGTTGACAGTATGAGAAAGCATAAAGGGCTAAGATTGCCACTATTAAGAAGATGAAGGTAAGGATTCAGGAAGAAAATGCTGCTCAATTTTGAGTTGAAATAGGAGAATGCTGTCTTGTGATTGAAGAATTATTCTTCAAGTATGAAGCCTTTTGGTGTTCATGGCTCTGAGACCATCAACATTTAGAGCATGCATTGCATAGCAGAAATGGAAGAACGAGCTAAAAACTTCTTTTGCAGCAATATATACGTTCTTTCGTAAAATCTTTATTTATATATAAAGAGACTGTATATTTAGAGGAGGATAAGAGTAATATTTAGTTAAGATAGTTTGAGTAAAGCTGGAAAACGTTGACCACAAAAATAACAATTTTAAAAATAAAAAAATAAAAAACTGGGGAACCAATTTCTTGAAGCCTCTGCTGCTCATCCTGCAATGAACTGTAGATGCATAGCACATTGCAGCAATGACTTAGGTCGTCTAGGACTGATTTCAATTTTTTCAGAAAGAAAAAAAAATGGTCGCTATCCGGTTGTAACCCATTGCTTCTCATTCCAATGGATTCACAAATTAGGTCTTGATATCCTAACAATTTGAAAAGCAATACATGTTCTTGTCTATAACCAATGAAGTTAAGCTGAATTGAATTTGAGGTAGCCTTTAAAACAAATATGACATTGCTACTCAACTTTTCTATATTCTTGTCGGATGACTATTCCGAATCAAGAAACTTAACACATTCTACAAAAGCTCTAAACTACTGCTTAGTCAAGAGCGACATTTGAATTCTGTCGTATGTATATGCCTGAGAGAGAGAGAGAGAGAGAGAGAGAGAGAGAGACGGGGGGAAGTGGAATGAAAAATCTCCATTACGCTTCACAAAACTTTCTAGCTCTTGTCAGTTGAGGTTCTTTTCACTTCTTTTACGATTGCTTCTGACAGTTCATCTGCATTGTACTCTACACCAAAGCATCTCACAACTTCCATGTTTGGGTTCATCAAATACCTGGTTGTTTCAATGCACATTAAAGCCACTTTGAGCTCATACACCAGAAAGCTGAAAAGGGAAAGATTTTAGCAAGTGGCTCACATGTTATGGGAACACTCAACAAGATAGTCATCGCCCTCTTCTTCAACCTTCTTAAAATAAGCACGGTATTCCTGAGCCATCTGCCTTATAGCTGATACAGGTCCAGTTAACCCTACAATCCTTGATTCAAACTCTGTCCACGAAAATGTTGGGTCAGGTGATAGGGGAAGCCAAAACGAGATATTAGCAAAACCATCTGTATTTAAATAATTAGCATAAAGAGTACAAATATTCCACTATAAAAGAATTCAGACCTTTAAGGTAGGCACGGAGATGAGAAGGGGTATCACGTTGTGGATCAAGTGTAACAAATACTGGTAGAATCTTAAGGTTATGTCTCGATTCTTGTACCCGAGAAAAAAAAAAAAATTGGTAGCACGTCAGTGGTCCAACAACAAAATAGTACTCAAATATAAAATGTTAATAAAGTGTCAACCTAATATGTTTATGGCCTTGGCCATCATCTGAAGTTGTTCCGGTCCAACATCAGGAGAAGAAGTATATCCAAAATGGAGAAGAACCCAGTTTCCTAAAAGATTTCGTTCAGTGACAGTGTGGTTCTCCGTGTCCACTAAAGTGAAGGGACCACCGATTATAGGGCCCCTGAGATTGTTTACGCATGGGCAGTTACCCTGACCTGCTAAGATGGAGAAAAAGTAAGAGAAGGATGTTGCTTGGTCTTAGAAAACAAAGTCATTTCTCCATCATTCAATCAGGAAATGTACTTGCAGATTCATAGTACATTCTAAATACCTAAGTTAGTAGTTCAATTAATATGGGAGAACAGAGTTTCGATGGAAGACTAAGCTCGTTATGAATTTCCCTGCAGATTTTAGACAAAAATTGAAGTTTAAACCAATGGGTATATATTGAACAGCTAGCATGCACATTGTCCTACGATGAAAAGATATTATAATTGTCTCCATTCCAACTGATTTTGAATAGACTATAGCCCAAGCACAACAATAAGTTCATCATACTAATTGATTATCCTGCTCAATTCATCATACAAAAGCTAGAAAAGGAACAAAAGATGCAGTCCTGCATTAAGAACAATTTGACTCCGCAAAGTAAATCCAAATTGAGGCGAACATAGCATTTCTGCCAGCAATATTTTTTTACATTATAAAGCTAAAAATCATATTAAACATTTTCACTATTCTACAAACTACCATTAATGAAGTACCTCAATAAGAAAATGTAATGAAGACTAACCCAGTAACACTTCGCATAAATAGTCCAATTGCATCCTTTTAAACAAATAATTGGACAGCCAATATCCTAGAGGTTTCAGACCGGAGCCACTAAAATCATCATAAGACCTCTTGTCTCACACATAAGGCCAACATCAAATGAATCTCTTAACAATTCTAACATTTTTTACAGTCAGAAGCAAAGATTCTTAAATCACTAAAATGCACTATCTTTGATAGCTAAAATTAGCTATTTAGTTTGAATGTTGTGTTATCCAAACAAAAAAAACAAAAAAAAATCCACTGAATGCAACAAAATATGAAGGAAGAACAAGAAGACCAAATTAATATGAAAAAGGCCACATAAATTAGTGAAAGTATCCACAACCATTATATCCTAGAGGTTTCAGACTCGAGCCACTTAATTCATCATTAGACCTCTTGCCTTTCACACATCAAGCCTAACATCAAATGAATTTATTAACAACTCTAAATGTTTCTTTACAGTCAGAAGTAAATATTCTAAAGTCGCTGAAATGAGCTATCTTTGCTATATTAAATTAGCAATTTAGTTTGAATGCTAACAAAATACGGAGGAAGAACAAGAAGACCAAACTAATATGAGAAAGGCCACATAAATGGGTCAAAGTATCCACAAGCATCATTTTCCAGATACCAACTTCAAATCAAAACCAGTTCCCTAGCAGTACTAAAGGTTGAAATAGTACCTTTTAAAGTTACTCTCCTCTCATCATTATAATGAATGAAAGTTGCCAACCCAGAAAAGAATAGTACACCAGCAGCCGGCTGAGAAAAAAGTATTTGATTAACAAATGAAGGGACCTCAATCCAGGAAAGCATGAAACAAATGCTTATTGTTTAATATATCCATAAATGTGCACCTTGAAAGCAAGAAGATGTAGATAATATAACTGATAAGAGAACAAAAAGGGGAAGGCTGCATACAATAACATAGGAAGCCCTAGAGCGAGAAGCCGGTGGTGTTTCTACTGTCATCGGGGATCTAATACCTGTCTTCCCATTAGCACTTTTCGATGAATTTGCATAACTACGCGAATGAATTCTCTTAGGGAGGCCAGACCTATATCAGGCACAAATGATTCAGTAGAAACTCAGATGCTAAAGGAAACATGAAACAGAACTTTGAGCAGTATCCCCCAATTGGGCTTAGAATATGTCTTATGCTTGCCAAAAGGGTGAATGAACATTTAACACCGTTTCACATATAAGCGAGAAAAACCCCATTTAGGATTTTCTTAATCCCTTAAATTCAAACCCCCAAATAAACTTCAAACGAAACAACCCGAAACACCCACTTCAAATTAATGTTCAGAAATCCTATGCAAACTCCTGCTGGTAAAAATCCTGAGAACCAAAACATAGCCAAATGTCACATAGTTGACATTACCATTTGCTACCACAAGATATTTCTTTTTTTTTTTTTTCAAAATGAGAAATTTGGATTGTGGTAATCCATCACACTTCCATTGGACACTAATTCAGTGAAAACTGCTCTACCACCAAATATAGAATTTGCCCTTGCAAAATCAACTTGCAAGAAAACGGTGCTAAGAGCACATACACTATTTCAAAAGATACTATATCTTTTCAACAAGATACAGTTGGGGAATAATAAAGACATTTAACAAATATACAAATATGTATAAAGTATGCACACAAACATCAATATGAACTCAAAGAACATGTAATATAATCTGAATAGCATAAACCCAAAACTTTGAAACGAGTAATTCCAAAATAAAGATTGAATTTCAGCGATCCAGCAGAATTGCACGTCCCCTGAGTTAAAACACTAGAAAAGAAACCAAAATTCTCAAAAAGGGCTTCAGAGTGTGTACCTCCGAAGTAGATTGAAAGCCTCTATTGAGCGTTGTTTGGCCGAAAAGAAAAGAAAACGAGAAAAGGGCATGGTTTCTAGGAAAATTTCTTGGGTGAGTTTTCTGTGAATAGCTGTTTTGAGCAAAACCCATTGGGTTTTGTATGACTAGCTCAAGCTAGCAATGCACGCGCTCGTTTTCCCTCCGTATTCTGTAAATTGCCTTCTATGGAAATATTTATTTTTTATTTTTTTTATTTTTCCTTTTTGGGTTAGCAAAAGCTAGGAAAGCCCATAAGCCCATTCCGAAGCGATCCATCCTCAAATTTTGTCTGCTCCGTTGAATCAGTAAGTCTTGCAGTGCACTCCAAGATCGACGACCAACACCACGTTTCTCTTTCACTTCTCAATTGTGGGTGCATTTCAAACTAGTACTCGATTTTATGGGGCCTTATAGACCCATCCTAAAACTCACGAAAAATCCCATCCGTTACTTTTTTTTCCTTCTTTTTTTTTGGTCTGACCTAAAATGCTAACATAGACGAATATGAGTCACATTTATTCTCTTATATGCAAGAAATTTATAGCTCAAGTGATTAATAACATTTATCTACGCACACATCCTAAATTCATTTCCCTTCTTCATCAATATCGCTTGTATAAAAAAATAAAATACAAACTAAAATATACAAAAGAAAATTTGTAAGCCGAGCTTGTAGAAGTTATCGCTTGTATTAAAAATACAAGATTAGGATGTTGAGTAGTTGAAAAATCTGTCCACTATATTGCACATATGTGGCACTTTTGATTCCTAAATATTCGTATTCAAAAATCTCCAGTACCTTTTTTCAAATTAATACTTCTTGTGTGAAGCACTTCCATTTTTTTATATATGGTTCTTTGTTGGAAACAAACTACATGGTCCTTTCAGTTATAGAGTCATACATTTACTGGACTTGCATCTCCATATTCTCCAATGTCTATGAGCCCAGGATATACAAGTTTAAAAGCTCTCAACCAATTTGTCTGCCTGACACAACATATCCTTGGTCCTCAACCCTTTCGACTGGTTGAGACGAGGTGCCTGGTCTTCATTTTGTTAATGGCATCCGCAGGATTGAGGCTTTTGGGGCAAGTGGCTGTGCAATTCTTTATAGTCCTGCATCTATATAACCTCGTGTGGTCATCTGTCAATGCCTGCAATCGTGGCTCTGTGAACTCATCCCGGCTGCCAAAGCACAACCCAATTGATCACAACACATACATAATCTATGACAATAATACTCGAGCACCAAAATTTCATTCCCAGTTTTTTACATGTTCAAAATAAATGAGATTCATAGTGGGAGTTAGGAATATACAAGTAAAATATTTCCAGCTCTGTTAGGATTCAAAATTTGAAATTTGTTTTGGTGTCTCTAGTATTACTCAAATTTTTTATTGAATCACTCAAAACAAATAACAAAACAAAGTGATTTGATAACTTATTGGTAAGGTTACCTATCGGCAATCCATCGATAAGCATGGAGCAAATCCGCTGGTCCAAGGAACTCCTCTGGATTCCACCAGTAGGAAGGGCAGGAGGTAGTACAACAAGCACAAAGTATACACTCATAAAGCCCATCAAGCTTTATCCTGTCTGAGGGTGATTGCCTGTACTCTCGGCCATCCTTTGGTGGCTTCGTCGTCTTCAGCCATGGCTCAATCAACCTAGCCAAGGTAAGATCAAGAAATGAAACTCTCATGAAGATGCGTTGTTCATAATAAAAAGTGATAAGTTTAACTCTCATTAACTAAATTCTAAAGAAGTAACATTTCTTAATATTTAAGAATCATAAAGCTTATCTTGCGCATTTAAATGGAAGCATAACTTGCCCTAAAACAAATGAAAGCGCTCTTTTGTGAATTCTAACTTGAGATTATTTCTAATATTAAGAAGAGAAATACCATTTGGCCGACAAAAAAGAGCTAGCAAGATGAAAGCAAAATATTTTAGAAAAATATACTGCAAAACATTGGGCTGAAAACTTTAATCTACAACATAACAATACATATATAATTAGGTCTGACCCCTAAATAGAATTAGAAATGCTCATCTTACTTGTACTGCTGGTAGAAATTGGTGAGGTCAACAACCAGATCTTTGATCACAAACATGTGAGGCAGAGGGGTTATAGTAGTGGGTTTGGAAGTGTCTGCATTTATGGGCCTGAGGCAGGCCACAGTATTTGTCCCATCAATGTTCATGGAGCATGACCCACATATCCCTTCCCTGCAAGACCTCCTATAACTCAGGCTTGAATCATCCTCTGCTTTTATCTTCTGCAATGCATCCAAAACCTAAAATTGCTAGAGTTTAGAGTTAGATATTATATGGTTGGTTTGGTTCAACGGAAATTGGCCTGCTTGGAACTTGGACCAGCCTAAATGACCAAATTTTATCAAAATATTCAACCTAAAATTGAAAATTCAACTCAAGTACTTACAAATGGCTCATCTGGCCTTTTCTTTGTACACACAATTTTTCTTTATACAAGTGATATTGGAGAAGGGGGAATCAAATCTAGGACCTCGGACGCATAAGTAAATGCTTTTGAGCTACAAGCCCCTTGCTATACTTTCTAAGTTTATGAAACTATTTGCATGCACCAAAAAAGTGAATACAAAAAGACATATCAAACTAAAAATTCTAAGTTCATAGAAGCATGTCCAAGTTGAAGCCCAAAATATCCCTTAAACATTCTACCAAGGAAAAATCAATAGAAAAATTATAATAATAAAAGTAGAGGATAAATTTACCATAGGACCGCAGTTGGAGAGGTCCACAAAGTAAGAGTGAAGGTAGGGCTTGTTGTTGAGATGGTCAGGGCTCCATCTATAGATCTTGAACTCCTTCAGCACTTGGTCTTTCTTTCTGACTGTGTCATGGGTCTCAACAGCTACTTCTGCATGTTGCTGGGCAACGGGGTGGCCTTCTAACACAGGAAAGTTCTCCTTCTTTGGGTCAGCAGCTCTGCCTACAATTCGAGCTACCCTGTTGAAGCCACGGCGGATCCAGCTCTTTGACATCTTTATCTATTTCTCATAGGAAACTGCTGCAGATTTTGCTTGCACATTTGAGGCCTTTGCATATATCACAGGTGTCAGAACATACAATTATCTGTAGCCATGCAAGCGGAACACATGTCCATAAATAAACCTGTCACAAGTTTCAATTGGGCTTGGACTTGGGCTTGAATTGGTCTTATGCTTAAAGTCTGAACAAGTAATTTACCAAATGCTCTCCAATATTTTTAGAAAAAATTCAATCGGTTGTTTAGTCTTCTGTCACGTGAATATGTATTTGATAATTTTTTTTTCTATTTAAAAAAAATTTGAAATAGTTATCAAACAAATCTATCTTCACTCTTTTGTACGTGTCTTTTTTGGGAGACAATGCTTAGCTTAGGATGATATTCCTCCTCAACCATGACGTGGGCTCCTTAAAAAATTAATACATATTTTATTTTTTTCCTCTTCCCTCAGAGTTTTTAACCCAACCTTTTGGCTGGTTTTAATTGCAGCCTCCCCAACCCGACACTACAAAGCCACCGCCACCCCTGTTTCGAATCCACCCTCATCACCAACCTCGCCACTGAACCGATAAGGACGAGCAGGCAACCCACCGACTTTCTTTTTTCTTCTCTCTCTCTCTCTCCATCACTTATCTCTCCCTTTCTCTCTCTTCACGCCGGAAACAATAGAGATCGGCGACTTTCTATGCTCCATAGTCTATCTTTTCATATCTAAGGTGAGCGAAGGCGGGGGGATTCAAGGTTTCAATGACTAATCTTCATTTCTTTCTCTCTCTCTCTCTCTCTCCTCCCTCACTTCGACGGAATATGGTATTCAAATTAGCCAATCAAACTTCTGCTCTGGCTGCAAATTCAAAAACCAAAATTGAAAGCACATAATGATTTCAATCCAGGGTCTTGGGCTCCAAAATTGGCCGGAGGTTTAAATGGGAGGCTTGAGTAAAACCAGCCAAATGCTTGGTTAAAAGTGTTGAAAGAAAAGGGAAAAGAAAAGAAGAAGAAAGGAAACACGTGTTGTTTTTTAAGGAGCCCACGTCATTGTTGAGGAAGAATGGCTCTTGATATGTCAGGAGCAACCTTATGTAAATTGCCTTCTATGGAAATATTAATTTTTTCTCTTTTTCTATTTTTCCTTTTTGGGTTAGCACAAGCTAGGAAAGCCCATAAACCCATTCTGAAGCAATCCATCCTCAAATTTTGTCTGCTCCGTTGAATCAGCAAGTCTTGCAATGCACTCCAAGATCGACCACCAACACCACGTTTCTCTTCTTTTATTTTTTGGGTAAATACCACGATGTATCCCCACACCCGAAGAGTGAGATTACTCCCCGCTCTGGGTTCGGCTTGTTCCTGACTATAAAGTGCTTTCAATGGGTTTCAAACCTCTACCATTGAGGCACCAAGTAACTTGCCAACTGTAAGTGACAGTTTGCCAACCGCACCACACCTTGTAGTTACACCATATTTCTCTTTCAATTCTCAATTGTGGGTGCATTTCATACTAGTATTCGATTTTATAGGGCCTTATACTAGTACTTGATTTTAAGTATTCGATTTTATAGGGCCTTATACTAGTACTTGATTTTTAAGGAGCCCACGTCATTGTTGAGGAGGAATGGCTCCCGATATGTCAGGAGCCAAGCATTGCCCTTATGTAAATTGCCTTCTATGGAAATATTAATTTTTTCTTTTTTTCTATTTTTCCTTTTTGGGTCGCACAAGCTAGGAAAGCCCATAAACCCCTTCTGAAGCAATCCATCCTCAAATTTTGTCCTCTCCGTTGAATAAGCAAGTCTTGCAATGCACTCTAAGATCGACCACCAACACCACGTTTCTCTTTTTTTTTTCTCTCTTTTTGGGTAAATACCACAAGGTGTCCCAACATCTGAAGGGTTAGATTAATCCCCGCTCTGGATTCGGCTTGCCCCTGGCCATAAAGTACTTTCAATGGGTTTTGAGGCACTAGGTAACTCACCAGCTGTAGGTGGCAGTTTGCCAACCGCACCACACCTTGTGGTTAAACTATATTTCTCTTTCAATTCTCAATTGTGGGTGCATTGCATACTAGTACTCGATTTTATAGGGCCTTATACTAAAACTCACAAAAAATCCCATCCGTTACCTAAAGTTTGTTAAAGTGCCAACATAGACGAATATGAGCCACATTTATTCTCTTGTACGCAAGGGCCTTGTAGTTCTAATAATTAAGAGCATTTATTCATGCACACGATGTCTTGAGTTTAATTCCCGTCTTCATCAATATCACTTGTATAATAAAATAAATAAAAACTAAACGAATAAAAAAAAATTGTAATCCTTTAAAACATTTTTACAATGGGCCTATAGCTCAATTAGTTAAAAACAGTCACTCGTGGGCCTATAGCTCAATTAGTTAAAAACAGTCACTCGTGTCCCGAAATCATGTGTTCGAATTTCCTCTCTCTCAATATTGCCTGTATTTAAAAAAAATCTTAGAAAGTCTTGGGATTACTGCCATCTTCTGAACTTTAACATTAGGGAGCCCTATGACTGCTGCTAGATGAACGACAGGATTAGGATGTGGAGTTGTTGAAAAATCTGTCCACTACATTGCACCTATGTAGTACTTTTGATTCCTAAATATTAATATTAAAAAATCTCTTCAGTACCTTTTTTTCAAATTAATACTTCTTGTGGCAAGCACTTCCATTTTTTTATATATGGTTCTTTGTTGGAAACAAACTACATGGTCTTTTAGAGTCATACATTTATGGACTTACTTGCATCTCTATATTCTCTAATGTCTACAAGCCCAGGATATACAAGTTTACAAGCTCTCAACCCATTGGTCTGCCTGACACAACATATCCTTGGTCCTCAACCCTTTCGACTGGTTGAGACAAGAGGTGCCTGGTCTTCATTTTGCTAATGGCATCAGCAGGATTGAGGCTTTTGGGGCAATTGGCTGTGCAATTCTTTATAGTCCTGCATCTATATAACCTCGTGTTGTCTTCTGTCAATGCCTGCAATCGTTGCTCTGTGAACTCGTCCCGACTGTCAAAGCAGAACCAAATTGATCACATACATAATCTACGACAATACTACTCCAGCACCAAAATTTCATTCCCAATTTTTTACTTGTTCAAAATAAATGAGATTCATAGTGGGAGATAGAAATATACAACTAAAATATTTCCAGCTCTGTAAGGATTCAAAATTCAAAATTTGTTTTGGTGTCTCTAGTATTTCTCAAATTTTTTATTGATCACTCAAAACAAAGTAATTTGATAACTCATGCGTAAGGTTACCTATCGGCAATCCATCGATAAGCATGGAGCAAAGCCGCTGGTCCAGGGTACTCCTCTGGATTCCACCAGTAGGCAGGGCAGGAGGTAGTACAACAAGCACAAACTATACACTCATAAAGGCCATCAAGCTTTTTCCTTTCTGAGGGTGATTGCCTGTACTCTCGGCCATCCTTTGGTGGCTTTTTCGTCTTCAGCCATGGCTCAATCAACCTAGCCAAGGTAATAACAAGAAATGAAACTCTCATGAGAATGCGTTGTACTAGTTCATAATAAAAAGTGATAAGTTTAACTCTCGTTAACTAAATTCTAAAGAATTAATACCCTTTAAGAATCATAAAGCTTATCTTGCGCATTTAAATGGATGCATAACTTACCTTAAAACAAACGAAAACGCTCTTTTGTGAATTCAAACTTGAGATTAGTTCTAATATTAAGAAGAGAGATTAGTTCTAATATTAAGAAGAGAAATACCACTAGACCGACCAGAAAGAGCTAGCAAGATGAAAACAAAATATTTTAGAAAAATATGCTCCAAAACATTGGGCTGGAAACTTTAATAATTAGGTCTGAACCCTAAATAGAATTAGAAATGCTCATCTTACTTGTACTGCTGGTAGAAATTGGTGAGGTCAACAACCAGATCTTTGATCACAAACATGTGAGGCAGAGGGGTTATTGTAGTGGGTTTGGAAGTGTCTGCATCTATGGGCCTGAGGCAGGCCACAGTATTTGTCCCATCAATGTTCATGGAGCATGACCCACAGATCCCTTCCCGGCAAGACCTCCTATAACTCAAGCTTGAATCATCCTCTGCTTTTATCTTCTGCAATGCATCCAAAACCTAAAATTGCTAGAATTTAGAGTTAGATATTATATGGTTGGTTTGGTTCAACGAAAATTGGCCTGCTTGGAAGTTGGACCAGCCTAAATGACCAAACTTTATCAAAATATTCAACCTAAAATTGAAAATTCAACTCAAGTACTTACAAAGAGCTATCTGACCTTTTATTTGTACACACAATTTTTCTTTATATAAGTGATATTGGGAAAGGGGAATCAAACCTAGTACCTCGGATGCAGAAGTAAATGCTCTTGAGCAACAAGTGCCTTACTCCCACTTTCTGAGTTTATGAAAACATTTGCATGCACCAAAAAAGTGAATATAAAAAGACACATCAAACTAAACATTCTACCTAGGAAAAATCAGTTGCAAAAGTGCAATAATAAAAGTAGAGAAGATAAATTTACCATAGGACCGCAGTTAGAGAGGTCCACAAAGTAAGAGTGAAGGTAGGGCTTGTTGTTGGGATGGTCAGGGCTCCATCTATAGATCTTGAACTCCTTCAGCACTTGGTCTTTCTTTCTGACTGTGTCATGGGTCTCAAGAGCTACTTCTGCATGCTGCTGGGCAACAGGGTGGCCTTCTAACACAGGAAAGTTCTCCTTCTTTGGGTCAGCAGCTCTGCCTACAATTCGAGCTACCCTGTTGAAGCCATGGCGGATCCAGCTCTTTGACATCTTTATCTATTTCTCATAGGAAACTGCTGTAAATTTTGCTTGCACATTTGAGGCCTTTGCATATATCACAGGTGTCAGAACATACAATTATCTGTAGCCATGCAAGTGAACACATGTCCATAAAAAATCCTGTCACAAGTTTCAATTGGCCTTGGACTTGGGCTTGAATTGGTCTTGTGCTTAAGTTTGGACTGAATTAGAAGTCCAGAAACTGAACAAGTGATTTACCAAATGCTCTCCAATCTTTTTAGAAAAAATTCTATCATGCGA